CGCTCTTTTCGAATTCTTCCATTGTTAATTGCTTCCCTGTTTGGAGGTCGCTCAGCCGGTTCCACATCCCGTCTTCGCCGCACTCGTTTACTATGAATTCCTTCCCTGTATCCAAATTCCTTATCAAGAAGAATGCTCCGAACCGGCTCGAAGACAACACTGATGACGACAGCATACCGCTGTGTCGGATCGACCTGCCGGAGGGTCCGACAGCCGCGGATTCTGCATAGGAGCATGATAATTTCCGAACCGGTGCGGAGATTGCCGAATTAGTCTTGGTGATGCGCTGAATCGATACCGAGCCGACGAGTTCCTGCTTCCGCCACTGTTTTTCGACGGAGAAAGGGTCTATATCTCCGTCGGAGCGGGAACGGACGAGCATAATTGGGAGCAGAGACGGCGACGGCGATGGAGAAGGCGAAGAAGTGGAAGGAGCGGTCTGATCTTCTTGTTTCGGCGGTGGTTGTTGTTTTGAGACCGCCTCGTTGTTCTCATCGGTGACCGCGGCGGGGGCGGGGGCGGGGTCGGCCAAGCCCATTCCTTGAAGCAGCCTTTTGCGGCGCTCACTGATGGAACCAGGAGAGGCCATCCACACGTCGTAATCGGGTGTGGCGACGGTTGAAGAGGCGGAGAAGCTGCGGACGGAGGAGACGGCGGAGGCGAAGGAGACACGGGGGTCGTCGAAATCATCGTCTTCGTCCTCGGAGGAGGAGAAGGAGAGAGAGGCGGAAGAGGAAATTCTGTCGAAGGACTCGAAAAAGCGGTCATCATTGTCGTTGTCGTGGTCGTGGTCGTGATCATGGAGGGCATCCCAGTTGGTGATGGTCAGGGTCCTGATGAGACGCTGATCCATACTGTTGGGCGTCGTCGGAGTCGGAGGAGGGATTTTTTCTCCGGCGAGGGTAGACATGGAAAGAGAGAGAAGGAAAAGAGGAAGAAAAGAAAAAAAGAAAATCGAAAGTTGAGGTTTGGGTTTAGGCGTTTGGATTGATTTCAGGGAGAGCAAGTGGCAGAGAGAAAAACAAGGAGAGAGAAAGTGGTTATTAGCGGTTACCGTTGGGATTGGGAGTTTGGAGGGAAGCGAAAAGGTCAAAAAAAATATATATATATATATAAAAGGAGCTTCTTTCTCACGACGAGTGATTTATTAGCGATTTTCATTTTCATTTCATCTCTTCACGTCTTTGGGCGTTTTACTATTCGTCGTGGCGATCACGTTTTTGCCTTTTCAGATCCGTCACGATAGTTTCACTCAATTTGTTTTTTGTTTTTTGTTTTAATTTCTTTCTTATTTCAAAAATAAATTCACAATCTATTGTTATTTCTTCCTTTTCTTTTTAGAAAATTTTTTATTACAAGTAACAAAAAATATCTTAATAATATCAAATAAATCTGCAATAAAGTTACATAAAATTAAAAAAAAATCTTTTGAGTAACAAAATAGCCGAATAGTATTATATAAATCTGCAATAAGGTTATATAAAATTAAAAATATCTTTAGTTGCAAAATAACACAAATTTTAACTCGTGTCAAAAAAAAAATAGCGAAAATTTCAACTGTTTTGACTTTTGAATAACACAATACGGTACCATTTTTGTAAGTTCTTTATAATGAGATCTCATATCTCTTTTATTGCTTTAGATTAGAAAAACATGTTGATAAGGCATAATAATATTCAGCATTTTTCAAAAAGAAAATAATATTCAGCAAAAAACAAGGTCATAATATATATAAAACAAAGAGAAAACGAGACAAATATCTCCCTTAAAAGTGCATAGATATGGATTTATTGCCTAATTGCCACCCTTTCTTTATATGTTTTTATCTTTTAAAGGTAATAAGAAATGCGGCTGTTGAAAATTGCTTGGGATACTCTTTTTTTTTTTTTTTTTTTTTTTGGTGGAGCAAAGATGGCTTGGGATACTTGTTCTAAGCTTTTATTAAAGTTTGGTATTTAGCCAAAACTCTTTTTCTATTTTTTTTTTTTAATTCTTTTTAAGTTCGTTGCATGAGTTTTAAGGATTGAAGGTACTCCAAAACCGTGTAAACTCTCGATGAAGAAGTTAACAAGATCAAGAGATGGAACTGAAACAAGAGCAAAAGCCTAATATGCAATTAGCAACAAAGAAAGCAACAACAAGAAGGCCAGAACATCACAAACTATCACATAGCTTAATGTGTCGTACAAATTTAGTATACAAAATGAATTTTCATTTCCATACTTAAGCAAGCTGCAAAAAATGAGAATTAGTGGGAAAATAAAACAAAATTTTTTTTTTCCTCATAACTTGGCTAAAGGCCTTTGCAAAAAATCTGATGAGGCTTTACCATATAGACACCGAAATTGGACATGTGATCTGAGTCTTTACCGTATGGTGAGACGCATCTACCAAATAAACCTCTGGGTCCCAGGGTCATGGTCCCAATGGAATGGTCTATACAAGAACATTATCATTGTAAAGACATTGAGGGCCAAATACAAAGACCCCATGAGAAGCCAACTCAGGAGATCATTATTATGTGAATGCAATATCAACAAAAAGAATGGGATTGTATAGTATCTGAACTCAATTAGTGGAGCAGGCACCAGAACTGCAGCAGTCGCCAAAAAATATCCCAACACCCAGATCTTCCTCTGAAATTTGCCTGCCACGTAAACACAAACAAACAAAAAGAAATTTCATGTTGATAAATCACTAGGAAGTCAGATAGATGTTCATATCATGACTTTTTTTTTTTCCAAACTAACCCAATCTGGTGCCGATGGAAAGCCATGAATAGACGTAAAGCGGGACCAAGAGGTACTTGATTGACCAATGAGCATTGATCACTTTCCGCCATAAGTAGAAGGGGTAATGCCGGTTATCGGCAAGAAGATATGGATGAGCTATACTGCAATAGTCAAATGATTGAATGATGAAGTTGTATAGCACGAGTGCTTGAAATGAATGGAATATGTAAAATTATCGTTCGTGCTGACCAAATTGGAACTGTGTTAAAAAATGTCATGTTTCCGGTCAATCTTTCCACGTATGAGCACAATTTCAGGCCAGATCACAAATCGTCAAATCGAATTGATGCTAGTATTCTTTTGAGAAAATGTTGAGCTCGAAACAAACAACTATACGAAGAAAAATTGAGCATAATGTAAAATGAGACTGACCTGAAAAAATGAACAGAGATGAAGCCGGCAATAAGTGCCAAAAGTGCTTGAAAGAAACTATGTGGCTTCTTCTTCCAGAATGAGCAAAAGAAAGTTACAGCTTGTCCGAAACTGAAGTATAGAGGAGCCATAAGAAGAGCAGAAAACAGACCAAAATACAATATCTGTGCAAAATGCGGAGAAACTACATGAGCTTCTTTTGCACCTGGAGTATGGGAAAAGAGTAAGAGACTGAGCAATAAGGGCACTTCACATGCAGAAATGTTAAAAACTGAATATGAACGAGATGTACCGAGAACCACACTCCCATTCCAACGAACAAAAGCAACAAACGCCGCCAATAATATGATAAAGGGCGCAAAAGAAACTAAAAGCTTCTTCTTTGTATGCAAAATTGCTAAACATATAGCCACAATCTCATCAACCAAACCTACAATGGAAAAACCAAAGTCAGACCAACCACATCCAACATGAAGAGCTAATTCACAATTAATAAAGCAGTCAGTCCCATTTAATCATGTCATGGAAAATTTTGAGTTGTGCTGTATGAATGCCTGCATTTACATAAGCTAGACTCAAACCTGGCATGCAACTTCTCGAAGAGGCACTTCCAATGGATTTCAAATGTACAGTAGTATCATCTGTACCACCAATCTTTCGCTGTCTCAAGTTTGAGCCAGAAATGATCCTATTTTCAGGAGCTCGCTGACCATGTTTCCTTATCGAGGCACCAGAATTATCAGTATCTACTTTATCTCGTTGTTTGTCTGAAGTAATATTTATAATCCCACTGCCTGCAACAAAAAGCATCCATATAATATTTGTTTGACGAATGGTAACTGCCAAGGCACCAACCTGCGATAACAAAATGAAACACGTCAGCACATGATTGTACAATGTAGGACATCACAGTAAATGAAAAGGATAGGAAGGGTTGCATGGGGAAAAAAAATTCCAGCAAAAGTATCCTTACGCATAGAGAACTTAGTGTAGTATTAATGCCTATGGAAAGTTGTTTAGCTAATTCTTTACCAGTCCACTGAACCAGTAGTTCTTCCTCAAACAAGCAAGGTACATAGCAAGCACAGCGGTAAGCGACGCAACATCTGTATAATAGAGAAACGTGAAGAACCAATGGAGAGGGTACAAGGCCAGCACCACCGAGTAAAACGTTGCTTTTCTATCATCAAGGGCTGGTCTCAAGTGGGTGATTATCTCGTACACAAGAATACTGCATACTACGGCCAAAACACCATTTACGGATCGAAGGATTTCGACAGAGCACAAATCAGAAACCGAGGAGGCCCCTTTCATGTAGAACATCCCTGGAAACAAAGAAGCAACATGGGCAAGTGAAAGATAGTACCTGCAAAAGTTATAGATTTGCACATTCAAAATTCTCCTCCTGTTTCTGTTTTTTTCTTAACAAAAATCGAGTAATAACTGCATCAAGTTAAGAGGAAGACATCTCAACTAAGTTGCTACCCCAACCTCAAACCTATCTTACGCCAAACTAACTTTATTAAAATAAACAAAAAATAAAATTACAATAACCAAACTCATGAAAAGTAACAACTCCTATCGAGCGAGAAAGGAAAAAAAAAATACAACGCATAACAAAATTAAACAAGAACAGGCTATACGAATCAGCTCAAACCCAAAGGAAGGGCTCACTGATAAAACCCCAATGGTGAAAAACTCTAACAAGAAAAAATAATGTATGATCCAAGCCACAAGACTTACCGTAAAACCTGATAGCACAAGCACTTGAAACTCAAGAAAGATTAATTACACATTCAAATCCCTGCTAAACATGGTTAACCGACTGCTGGTCTCATAATATAGATCCATGTGGTCAAAGATATGAAACGAGCAACTGGGTAACGCAATTCTTTTAACTACAAAACGATTGTTTTACATAGAGAACATTATATAAAGGAAAAAACAAGGTAATCCCTTCAAATTGCATGAAGATTCCTACTTCAATTACAAGACTTCATTTATTCCAGTACTTTCATTCTTTTCATTTCATTAGCAAAAAATAAAATAAAATAAAACACTTGAATGTCTCATAGAACCATTTTTATCCAGCAAGAAATAAAACTAAACGAGCAAAACTATAGGAGGAATATCTCATCTTAAAACTTTCCATTCTATTAAACCTTTTTTTGGAAGCTGTCCATTGCAGTGTACAATCAACTAAAGCAAATCAACAATAGTTGGTTCATGGAACCAAAAGTTATAAATAACATAATATATATATATATGAAAAAAAAATCGCAAATGCAGAAATAGAAAAGGAACTCACAGGCCAGGAGGAGTTGTAATCATGGGATCCCAGCTTCTGAAATTGCTTTTGCAATACTGTTGAGCCTGAGGTATGTGGAATATCTCGTCCTACAATTAATACATGGGCATAACTTAAAACTCATTCAACTTTCTTTTGGAATCAAGAGCAAAGTTTCTTTTTTTTTTATTTTTTATTTGCGGTACTTACCATGTATGGATGAGGCACAATACGATTTACAAGAATGGAGATGGGAATGACCCACAAGCTCACAATCGCTGCGACGGCTACCTTTCCCATCTTAATTTCTAGCAATTAAAATAAAATAACTAAATTTTATTTTCGGATCAGAATAAATAAAATTTTCGGATAAATAGCATCCATAAGTGTGCATATTCGCAACGAATTTGAAATCCAGAAGAACCTACCAACAACGCATTATCAGAAAAGCACAAATCTTTTTACATGAAGAACAATCATATAACAACTCCACGAACAAGATCAATTTCAAATCCATCAAACAGAGGAGAAAATTTGGTACCCGGACGCCGGCGACAGAGTCTAATTTGGAGGCCACCGAATCCGGCCGGAGGAGGAAAGCCGTGAGCGCTTGACTTTGCCGTAGAAGGATTGAAGGAAGTCTTTTTTTTTTTTTTTTTTTAAATATTATTCTCATTTGTGCCTCTCAAATTTTAGTTTATTCGCATACTATCCCTTAAAACCTTAAAGATTCTTATATTTATGCACTCAGTTTTAACTTAGTTTGTTTGGTACCTAGATTCGTTCTCTGATTCGAATCATGGTTCATAATTCGCTACAATATTTTCTCTCACAAAAAATACACGTAAATAGAAAATAATTCTAATCACATGATTTGAATCCATGAACCAAACGGTACATTAGTCTCATTTACCCCTTTTCATTAGCATATGACGAAAATTAATATTGTAAATAAATAGGAAAAGAACGTGTGATTTCACTAATCTCCTTTTTGATTTACTTTCACGAAAATTTTAACAAATAAGATTAAGTGGGACTAATTAAAAAAAAGGTTTATTTTTATTCTCATTTTCATCATTGACTTTTAAAACGTTACATAATTAGTCTTTTATTTATTATTATGTTTCAGTTTCAATCCTTCAGTTAAATAGATGTTTAAAATTTGACAAAATCTATGTAAATTATGAACCAAAATCGTAAACATTTAAAATGTAAAGATTAAAGCAATGCATAAAATAAAAGTTAATCTTCACAAACGATCTCTAAATTTTAGATGTTTTAAAATAACATTTTACATCCCAAAAAATACCTCATAGTTTTTAAAAATGATTTTTTAAAATGTCTAGTTACCTATTAAAATTATCAAAAACATATAATAGTAAGAACATCAAAATACAGGGTACCAATATGATATTCTCTTTATAAAATATGTTTTGAATATGGGAAATTCTATGATAGGGGACGGTTACTTTTTCCTACCAATAGGATATGTTCTATAACCACACGATCAATTTTGAATCGTTCTGATAAGAGAATGCACCGAAAGTATTATAAGAAAGAGTGCAGGTGATTATGCTTAACATTATCTCTTTTTTTTTCTTTTTTTTTTTTTTTTTTTGCGCTAAAAAAAACCCACCCGGTATGAACTCTCTGAATTTTTTTATCTTCCATCATCTGAAATTTATTCATATTAATTAAATAAATTTTGTAAATGGAAATTTGTAAATTTCTCAAGGATGGTAAACTTGGGGTTTGAGTTTGTGTCCTCTTGCTTGAAGCCAATTTGATTTTACATTCCCCTTCTTCTCTTGTAATTGAGGTCTTTTCCTTTGATATTGGATGTTGGAAATCCAATCACGATTGATCATTAGCGCCTGTAAAAGCTAATTCTTTGCCTTTAATGGACTGGTCTTGAATATCTATATCCCAATGACACTTTGATATCTACTTGATTTTGCATTTTCCTTCTTCGCACTTAATCTTCAGCGCGAGAAAAAGTTCTCTCCAAGCTGTACAACGATATTTGTTGTTCTTAAATTAAGAAATAAAGAGGTAGGATGAGGGAAAAGATGAATATGAGATTGTGTTAATTTAAAATTTAGAAATGAGTTTGAGTTGAAGAAAGAGGAGATCGGGGAGTGCAGGAGAGGAGCTCGTGCCGGCGGGGCATAGGCTATTGTGCCGCAGTGGAGAGATTTTGCGGAGGGGCGAAGGAGGGGGGCTTAGCGCCGTCGAGGGAGAAGCTCATTGGCGCCGCTGGGAGGTGGTCACTTAGCGCCGACATTGAGGGAGGGTTCACGCTTTCGTCGGGAGTGCTGTGTTCTTCACCACAGTAGTGCAGGGATGATTCGCCGTCGTGTCGGCACCGGCGTTTGGACTGGAGTCTGGAGCAGAAAGATCAATTAATTTTGAAGGTTGTGATACTTTTGTATTGTTCTGTGGATTTTCTGGGTTTGAGATTTAAGATCAATATTTGGGCAAAAGGAAAATTGAGAGAGCTCTCATCAATGGACGACTGGGAAGGGAAGGATTTTTATTTTTTTATTTTTTTATTTTTTAATTTTGTGTAGTCTTGTACAGTCCATGTTATGATTGTGATGGTGCGTCATTTTAATCTAACCATACAAAAATGATCTAACGGTTGACAATACACACCCTATTAATAGGGAATAAGTACCATACCCTAGACATTCCCTTTAAATATAATCTGCTTTATGAAAATATAAATATATGTTTTACAAGATTGGCCGAAATAGGTGGTCCATACTACTAGGCCGGCGGATCCATGAATTTATGGGCCTGGTTGGCCGAGGTATGAAGGTATGGTCTAGCCCATTAATATGGTGGGCTGGGCCAGGCTCTGCACAACTTCAGTCGGGCCAGCCCGGAAGTCCCAAGCTCATCCTTACTTTTTTCGCAACTCATGGAAAGCTACTAGATTTCAAGAAAAGTGTCTCTTAAGCCATATTTTTCTCTTTACAGAATTATAGTACATTTTGCTTTTTTTTTACACGTGCGTACATTATAATTTCAACCATTGGACGGAGGAAAATATGATCCAAACCGTTGAAAAACGAGCTACTTTTTTTTTTTTATTATTATCATCCATTTCTTTACATAGACAACAAAATTTTGGACGGCTCAAATTGTTTCAAGTCTAGTGTGACGGTTGAAAATTTGAATTGAAAGATCAGTATGTAGTGTTTTCGTCGCAATTTTTGTTGTAATAAAACTGTAACGAACTGTTTCATTAATTTACCAAGCATGTGCAATCTTACTGGTAGTGGTGCCCCTTTTCCGTTATTAATAGAAGTTTTTCTGACAGAATAAAAAAATATGTACAGATTCTGATACAGATCTGACAGTTGAAAAATAAGAAATTATCAAGAAAAGAAAAAGTCATTTATTATTATTATAAATCTATGTTTGGTATGAAGTGAATCATAGGCTGCAGGATAGGAAAGTTGCTTTGAGTTAAAGAGAGAAAAGTGGGTTTTGGAGGTTCGAATCTGACACACTTTGATTCATCTTCATCATGCGAGAGACACAATATAGTGGACATCATGGCCTTCTCTAATTATACTCCAAAAGTTTGTGTAATTTACAACCCACCAGATCAGCCAGGCATCTTCCAAAAGTAAGGGAATCAAATTAGCAACCAGATCAGAGTTTATATTTTTGGTTCATATCCCATTTCTACATCATCATACTTATAACGTGCATAGTTGATATATATATATGATTATAATTAATAACACCAATAACATATTATTAATTACAATTGGTAGTATAAAGTTTGCTAATTGGAAAATGCTTTATAAATCAATTATTGCTTAAACATATATATAATTCCCTCTCAAATTGAAAGACAAAATAAAACTGCTCTTTTAATTTTTATTATTTTGTATTTGACAAACTAATTGGTTAGACACCTACATTTGCCAAATTGTCATTAAACACCTTTATTGTGGAAAGCTAGCTACATTTTGCAGCAAAATCATATTGAAGAGCCTTTATGTAGAGGCAACTAATTATTTAATATATAATCACCAAAGATGAGAAAAAAGGCTCATCAAGAGAAGATTCTATATATACATATGGTGGGTAATGCCCAATGCCCAATGGCAGCCTTATCTTAAAAGATCTAGGGACAATTAAATTACAAAGTAGTCAATCAAACTCCAAGGCATGAGATTCATAGATTTGAAAATTATAAGGAGAGAGAGAGAGAGAGAGAGAGAGAGAGAGAGAGAGAGAGAGAGAGAGAGAGAGAGAGAGAGAGAGAGAGAGAGAGAGAGAGAGAGAGAGAGAGAGAGAGAGAGAGAGAGAGAGAGAGAGAGAGAGAGAGAGAGAGGATGAGAGGGAGAGAGAGAGAGAGAGAGAGAGAGAGAGAGAGAGAGAGAAGTAGGGACTAGGGAGGTGGGGAAAGGAGATGATTGTTAGAGATGGGGGACATGATGGTTGGCAATGGAACCATGTGATTCCCCTTTTAATCATATGCCCCATGCTATTTTTTTGTGTGTGTTTCTGTTCCTTGCACTATTTTACTCTCTTTATGCTATCTATTTTTTTTTTTTTTTAAAAATTATCTTACCCTTTTACCATGATCTTGATATTTTCATTGGTGACATAAATCGACGACTCTCAATTTACAAAACCAAGGGAAAAAGAAAATGAACAAAGAACAGAAAAAGAGAGAGAGAGAGAGTTGTTTAACTATGTATCAATTACTTTTATCCAAATCATGTTGTGAGTACAATTAATTTATGATTCTTCAATTAGAGAGATGCAATTATTTTTCATTCCTTTTTTTTTTTTTTTTTTTTTTTTTGGAAAATAGACGTTTTACTTTACACATCGGTTTCTATGAATAGGTTGGAATAAAAATATTGTTCTTAATCTTTTTACCAGTAGAGTTTCTTATGAAGATCTTAATTTCAAGAACAAAAGAAAATTACAAATCATATATAATATTTATGTAAAAGTGACTTTAAAAAGGATAACAACTTGATCTGGAATAAAAGAATTGTTGTCATTACATTTTTTCAAAGTTATTGTTGAATGAAATATATATATTCTCTTACGCCTTTCCTTTTTTATATAACATGCACATGCATATGAATATTTTGTTACACCTCAATCTTTACTTGTTACATGTGCACGTAGGATTGGTCGTGCTCAACATATTAGTAAAAACTATATCAATATTAACAATATATGTAAATTTAGTATGATGCAAATCCTTTAGTTACTAAATTGGAGTTACCAGTAACTCTTTGCTTTTTCATAAGTTACCAATTACTATTCCAGAACTTGTAGGGTAGAAATTGTCATATTTCACTACAAACATAAATTGTTATTTTAGTTAGTGATTAACTTTTTAACAGTCTGATCTATGATTGAGAACGATAACATTTACATATTAGATTGTTGAAAAACATTATTAAATAGTTAAAGAATAGTTCCTACCGTTAAAAACTTAAGGCCTCGTTCGTTTCAAGAATTCGAGTTTTCAATTCGAGCTGAGATGTGACATTTTCTGAGAGTTTTTAACTATAGAAACTTAAAACTGAAAACTCGTATCAATGAAATAAACAATGTCTAAATGTAACAAGAGAACTTTATTTTCTTTAAAAAAAAAAAGGGGAGAAGTTTTCCCTCATGGAACCATACTATTGGAGCGTAGTCAGCACACTCCTAAGAAAGCGTGGGAAAACATACAATGCAAATAATATTTGATGATAGAAACCATACAGCAGGCAGTAGTACCCCAACGGACGGCGGCCGATCTCGCCTCTTAAGCTTGCACAACAAGCATGTGTGTGCATCTCTTTTTCTCTTCCAACATTTTATCATCTCGTGAAAAATTTAAATATGTATTAAAAACTGTCTATTATACATATCTTTTTAATTTGATGTATGCTGACCGCATCTAACGGTCAGAAATTGATCTACCAGCAACAATAAAAAAGGCCATACTAGAGAAAGTCTATTAATTTGTAAGTCAAAATTAACTTACTTTCCTATTAGCTTTGCTAGTCTTATATCTAATCTAATTGCTGAATTTCTTATACCTAGCTAATCTAATCGTCATTACTTGTGATATTTTAATTTTTGGTTAGATATAAACAAGGCATTAATTCAAAGTTGGGATCATGAGGCTTGTTATTTTAATTTTTGGTTAGATGATAATAAACAAGCATTAATTCACAGTTGGGATCATGAGGCTGTGAAAGCTTACCAAATCCCCCAACCCCCTTTATTTTCATAAGAAGGAATCCTAAGTTAATTTATAAATTAATCTTTAAAATTCAATTAATCCTGGCTGGGTTTTACCTATCTAAGCATGAATTCAGCAATTAGGAAGTTTGAAAGTGACAATACTCATATAATCACGGCAAAGATATCATATAGTAAAATGTTACGTGACATGTATTTCGTTGCCTAATCCCTCAGATGTTAGAAATTAGTATAATGTAAATTTGTCAAGGATTTAGTTGAGATATTCATGATATGCCCGTGTCATTTTCTTTCCGCGGATTAATTAGTTAATTAATTATTACCTGTGATTCACTGCTGAAGAAAAATACTCGAACTTAGCTGGGTTGAAAATGGAAGTTCATATTTCTAATTAGGGAATTCTTATGGTACCCTATCACTAAAAACTATTATTTTAACGGTTAGGTTAGTTTTTCAACCATTCGAGTGTGAGTACTTACATAAAAAATTTAACTGTGTCTACTCACAGATCATACATTAAAAAAAAAAACTAATTCAACTATTAAAACAACAGTTTTTAATAGTAGGGTTCCTTTTAATTATTTATAAAATGTGTGTGGTTAAGACAGTAATATCAATAGCTCTTAAAGCCACTAAATAGTGAAACATGGTTATTTTGATTGTAATAATTGGTTAAGCATATGAGTGGATAATATCCTGGGGTGATTCCTACTTTGTAGAACTGCATGTGATTATGTAATATAGGAAGAAGTAGGTATAGGGGCTATATTTGACTTTACCACAGAAAAATGTACGTAGGATTATGTTATATATCATTTTTTGGTGGCGGCAGATAGATATGGCCTGGAAAGATGCAATAACCATTCCATGAATGTAGGAAGCTTGGTTGCACTTACATTTTGCAGATAATAGATGTACATAACATAGGTACTATTGCTATATATATTGCACTTACATTTTGCATAGGTACTATTGCAGATAATAGATGTACATAACATAGGTCCTATTGTTTCGAGTTGTTTTTGTTTTTGTTTTTCACATTTTTTGAGAAAGAAAAAATAAAAACGGGAGAAAAACGGCGTTTGGTATAATTAAAGACAAAAAACAGAAATGAAAATGATTTTTTGATTTAGTGTAAAATGTGAGAGAAATGAAGTCGTTTTTCATTTTTTGTTTATGTTTTCTCCTCTCTCGAGCAGAGAGCGAGAGAGAGAGAAAGAAATTAATGGATTTTTTTATACTGAAAACAATCTCTTGATAAAACTACCAAACGTATTTTCAAAAATGATTTCTCTCTAAGATTGAAAACGTTTTCATTTCCATTTTCATACAAAAAAATAAAATCATTTTGGAATGAGTTCCAAACGCGCCCTATAATTTCTACTTCCTTTACCTCCTATTACATATACATCAACTTAAAAATAAAAAAATTCTAAGAGAATAATACAAAATTAAAGAAGTGAGTTATGGGGGCATTCCCTATTTTTAAAACTCTAAAACGAATCAAACTCGTTTCAAAGAAGGATGACCAGTATCCAAGAATTTTAACACCTAATCCGATTTTAATCAATCAATCGAAATAAATTATTCTTCAAATTAGCTATAAGTGGTTGATGGGCGTTAGGAGAGAGCTAGCCTAGCATCATATTCACACGATACACAAGTCAACTAAGAAATTAACAACCAACTGGTGAGATTTTCAAATGATCATACCAATCAATAATTACTCTTATAACACTTCAACAAAAATTATTAAACAAGAAAGGAAAGAGGGGAATAAGTACACACAAGTCAATTTTTGTTCTCTGAGTTTCTTTCTACCTAAAGAAACAAATAATAATAATAATAATAATAATAATAATAATAATAAAGACTATCTATGGTTATGCAATCTCAACAAATATTTAAATATCCAACTGTTATATATTTTTTCTATATACCTGTTTTGTTGCGTTACTACATAATTATAATACATCATTTAATTTATCAATTCATCCCAAAAGTTTAAGCTGTTAGGAGCTGAACCAACAATAGTTTTATACTTTAACACTCCCCCTCACGTGTGGGCTGAACAATGAGCAATCGTGTGGGTAAATTAATTAAAAATCTCAACACGTGAATATTTAAGCCCGAGATATATTAAAGGCCCAACACATGATGACAATTTTAATGTGGATAAAGAGTGCAATTACGGGGTTTGAACTCATGACTTCCCGCTCTGATACCATGTTAGTTTACCAATTCATCCCAAAAACTTAAGCTATTAGGAGATGAGCCAACAATAATTGTATACTTTAACATATAATACATCACTAGATTCACACTCTCAAACTTTAAAACATGTTATTTTTTAGATGAAATATCACGTGCACACAAATGATCAGGACCGGTAAATTCGTCAATTTCTTTGAGTCGTAACTAACTAAATTGTGCTAAGGTCAGCTCTCCAGTCTCCACCATTTTTCTCACTATTCTTTGTTCTGACAACCACTCCAAGGAGAGATGGTGATGTAGTGGAAGCTTTAATTGAAGGAAGATCATAACAACAAAGTAAAGGATAAACTAATTAACCTGTTGATTTATACAGAATATTAAAAAAATTGTTTGAATATTAAAAAAATTGTTTTAAAAGCTGTTAATTCACACAGAAGAATAGAATTTGGAAGTGAAAAAATTAAAAGAAATTCTGAAAATTTATTTACCTGAACTGCTTTCATTATAAGAGGGCATCTAAATATATAGGCAAAACATAAACTGGAAACTAGCATATTCCTACAAAGAAAAATAATAATAAAATATGAAATTTTTCAAAAAAGGAAAATTTTAACTGGAAACTAAAATTGAAATTACTAGACACAAGGAAAAAGGAAACACAGTCAGAACTGGAATTCAAATTTTCTAGGTCAACTTATTACAAAAATAGAAATTACTAAAAATGAAAAAAAAGGCCCTTTTGGAGGCCTAAATGATGAAATTTACCCGAAAAATGTCACACATCTTGGCAAAGCAACGAGTCTTATCCGTTGGGCCGTTTCTACTTAGAAAACACATATTTTTCATCTAAATTTGACATCGCTAAAAGACCCCTCAAAACTGAAAAATTTACCTTATTTACTTTTAAAATATTTTCAACGCGCCATAAAAGTTAGATCCTTCTACACCTCATCAGATGCAAACTAATAATTTATGTAGAAAAGGGCATTCATTAACCCCTAGGCGTTATTTCTAGTTGTAAACCAGGTATATAACTCAACAATTTCATCTAAAAAATAACACGTTTTAAGCAGTAAATTTAAAGATGTGTTATAAATTAAGGACACAACACGTACGTTTAATGTTTAGAGATATGTTAACACAAGTGATAATAAGATAAATTTAAATATGTGTTATAAATTAAGAACACAATATATACGTTTAATATTTAGAGATATGTTGACACAAGTGATAATTAGTCAAAAGATTAGTAAAATTTATCTTAAATAACACTACAAATTAAATAACAATATTTTTCAATGATCCATAATTCCATATAGGTGGAAGAGACATTGAAAATATCAACTCTTGGCGTGATGTGTCAAATAACAATCACATCAAAGAGATGGTCCCATGTATAGCAACCCACGTGCATCCATGCCTCAAAGTTCGTAGAGATTTCAGAATGAGAGAGAAGCAACTAATTATAAAACAAAGATTTTATAGTCCTAAAATTCTCATACTCTCTGTAAGCCACAGAACTCAAAAGAAACATTAAATTAATAAAAAAAAAACAAAAGAAAGAAAGAAAGAAAAATATTAGAGAGATAAAACTTTAGAGATCTCAGTTTGTCAAGTCTTTCTCGTTTGTTTGTGTTGAGTCTTTCAACCCCTCCTATTCTCTCTCTTGGCGAAGGATCCGATGCATTATAAACTGCCTCTCCTATCTCTCTCTATATATTTGTGTATATATATCTCTCTATATATACTCACTCTCTTAAAACTACCGCTTCAATCTCTATCTCTTTTCATTCACTACATAAGCCAGCTTAGGGCAAAAAGAAATTAATAACCATCATTGTTCTTGAACCTATATATATATATATGTAATATTCATTATTATCATAGCCTTGGTCTTGTTGTTTTTTATTTTATTTTTCATATATTAGAAAGTATATTCCTTTGATGAACTCCTCAGAATTCCACCAAATTCCCATCCTAAACAATATGTCCAATTCAGATCTGTTATACGTCCAAGATGATCATGATGACGATGATGATCAAAACGTCCCTTTGAGTTTTCTACACGAGTGTCGCGCCTCCCCGTCAGATCGTGAAGATGATAATTCTGATTTTCGCCATGATCAGGAGTTTGATGTCGATCAAGATGATCATGATCAGGTATATGGTCAGCGTGAGGAACAAGATTCTGATGATGATGGTCAACAAGAAACTATGAACAAAGATCAAGCCAAGATCAAGAAAGAAGAAAAAGAAGAAGTACTAGTTCTAATTACTGATCATGGTGAGGAAAGTACTCGCAAAACAGCGTCATCTTCTTTAAGAGAATCGGATGTCAAGGTGGAAGACGACGAAGACGACGGGTTCAAAACTCCGACGTCTTTGGATCACAAAATTCCTGTGATACAGCAGTGTCCTTCGGCTCCGCGAAAACCTAAAGTTTCTTTTAAAAGAAAAGCAGCACCTCCGTCGAGTCGTACTGCTCGTAGAAGCCTGCAGCTTAATTTTTCGGAACAAATTGAGTCGATGTTTCCCGATTTGCAGTGCCTCCACAAGAGCAAGAAAGCTCGACGAGCTGATCATCAAGCTGAGTAAATTTAATTATCTCTATACAATTTCATATAATTTGTTGGATTAATTAACTACTAGCTAGTTTGCCGGCCATGATAATTAGTGGTGGCTTTTGGAAATAAATTTGTCAACATTATTGATAATAGAAAATTAATTCTTAAATGTTAAAAATTTTGGTTGTGACACCGTGTATTAATACAATTAGATCCTAGATCTCTTCATCGTTCTCTTCTTTTCTTGGTTAAGATCTTGATTTTTTTTTTTTTTTTTACCCAAATGATGTTTTTGTGAAGTTGTGAGAGATAAAAGTGAAGTACATCCAATCAAAAAAGCAAAAAAAAAAAAAAAAAGATGAAGTACAATTAATTGCAACTTTATAAGTTGGTCTGCAGTTAGATTTGTTGTTGATGAAAAGAGAGATGTATACTTTTTCTTTTTCAGAAAATATATACTTAAGAGAGGGGAAATTGCATATTGATTTTCCTTTCTTTAGTGAGCAGATAATTTATTTCGCTTTACGCTTAGAATTAGAAAGTTTCCTTTGGATTCCAAGGAAGAGAGAAAGAGAAAGAGAGAGAGGTTGGTGGAAGCAAGTACAAGTTAAGCAAATAGTTATTTTGTGGTAGGTTGTCTATTTCTTGATGGGTATAGTTTTGGTATGGATTAAATTACAAAAATTCCATCTTAACTATAACTCTTGAAAAAATGTGTTGCTCCTTCTGATTTATAAACTATTAACTATAAAACTCCTTATGTTATGATTTTAATAGAAAAAATTGACACGTGATTATTATATATCATGTTGTACATAATTAAGGGGAAATTGAATTTAAAAATTGATTTAATTAAAAAAATCGAATACTAAATAAAATAAAAAACTTCAAAAATTAAAAAACAATAATAATTTCTCTTCACGTAATTTGTGATTGCATAGGATTGTACACTAAATTATTCAACGACCCCTGATCTAATTTATGCCACATATGTTATTTTGTTAAAGACTCCAAGGGAATGACTTCTTTCATTAATGTTCTATAGATCGGAGAGAATAAATGTTATGTTTTGAAGATCGTACACCGCATTATTTTAAGGGACCACATTATTTTAAGGGCAATTATTGAAGAGAATTTTTGTAATTAACCCTTTTAGTACTCCAATAGATGAAATTACTAAAAGCTCCTTCTCGAAGTACCATAATTAATTTGTTTAACAATAAGGCATTATGGTAGCCACGTTGCCATTAAAAAGGTTGGTGATTATTAATTTGTTAGGGCTTTATTTGACAATATTAGGAGTGCCCAGATCCCTAATACACATAATCTCTGTGTGGTGTTTATAAAATTTGTGGCCTTTAGATAAATATTCACTAATATATTTAAAATTTAATTGATGTTTTGTAATTAGTTTTCCAAGAGAGGCAAACATCCTAAATCCTCTCAACCTAGCTAGGAATGAAGAATATGTTTATTTATTTATTTATTTATTCTGATGAAGGACATAACTAATTACGATGAGGTATTGGAACTGCTATCCTCTTCTCTGCATGCGTATTGTATTGAAATATATATAGACGGCATTGCATGAGTTTTTCATCATTATGTTTCTGATCAAAGATCATCAAGATTTTGTTTTTAAAAAGAAATAAAGAAACAAATAATTAATGTGAAATGCCCGCTTCTTTTTTTTTTTTTTTTTTTTTGGGTGTAAAATGGCTTGTTTTCATCTAACTTATAAACAACTTAAATCCTCATTACTCGCAAGCTTCTTAATTGTATTTATTATTATAGTCTCGCTAGGTAGCTAGAGAGCATCAATCAAATATCTCATAAAACAAGGGGGAGATTTGTGTAAATTGGCACCGTCATAACACTCTCAAACGCCTATCCACCCGCACCTTAATAGTTATATAAGACCTATTTAAGATTATTAATCCTCTATAGTTGTAATGAATGTACTTTTTACATGATATTATTGTAATCAAAATAAAAAATGATAGTTACTCTAGCCAAGTTTAAACTAGTTTAGATACGTGCGATAATCATATTGAGTTGTGATCGAAATTTTTATAATGTAAAATACGAATAACAATGCATAGAAAAATAAATTATTATTACTGACGCTCTTAAATTTTATGGTCATTCTCAATTTGTCACTTGAACTTTAAAAACTCGTACTTTAAAAACTCATACTTTACCCCCTGAACTTTGAATTATTTCCATTTAACCCCTTCTATTGCAATTTTCGTTAAAAACATATATAAAAAAGAGAATAATACAATCACATGGTCTTTTTGTTTAGAGTTTTATTTTAAAAAATAGATAAAACTACATGACCACACTTAATCCCCTCTTTTTTTGTCTGATTTTATCAAAAATTATAAAAAACAAAAGGGTTACGTGAGAACAATTCAAAATTTATGATGCAAAGTGGGAGTTTTTAAAATTCAGGGAGTAAACTGAAAATAACCTTAAAGTTTAGGGGTACTAGTTAGAATAATTCAAAAAAAATAGAAAAAAAATTCAAAAGAATTAAAGAAAAGAATACAAATAGTAGAATAAGTTAAAAGCTTATATGATTAAATATTTGAAATATTGTGAATTATAAATAATAAAATAAAAAATAAAGAAATTAAAACTTAAAAACGAAAGGGAAAACAAGTATCGTATAAATATAGCAAGGCATTATTTCTATTTCAAAATTGATAGATAAAGAGAGTTGAAAAATGAATAAAAAAACGTAAAACACGTACGAAAATGGAGTTAAAAAAAGAATTAAAGATGTAAGCGGTTTTAAGGGATAAAAACTGTAGTAGATAAATGGAGCAAAAGAAAAGTGAAGTAAAGGAAAGAAAGAATGGGAAAAAAGAGTTAAAGAAAAAAAAATTAGTAAAAAGAAAGAAAAGGAAAAAAAGGCATCATACCGGTGCGTTTTGAATGACAAAAAAAGGAATAGTGAGCCTTTATTTTGAATGACAAAAAAAGATATAGTGAGTCTTTATGGCTTTTTTATGAAGTAATTACATAAAATGTCTAATTTTAAGTCTATATTTATAAAATTTTGATTATTATACAATAAGGATGCGGATTTGTTGACTATAAGGCTCTTTTTTTTTTGGCATTGTCCTTATTGAGTAACTTCGGTAATGTTCTTTATATGGTTAGGTTTTATTTATTTGTAGGCTGATTATTCATGATTATAATTTAGATATTTTACTTCCCTTTTTTAACTTTAATTGATTTTTTTTAATCAATCAGTATGATTTTATGTGTTTTATTTTCCCGGTTTTAGTTTTTCCCCTTTTTTCATTTTTCAATTCAGCCATTTGTGTGCATTTTTTTCCACGTTTTTTCAACTCAGGGTTCGTTTGGTACGATGATTCAAACTAGAGTGATTCTAATTATGATTCTGGAACTAGAACCATGATTCATGATTTTGGGTTCAAATCATGATTCTGAAACTATGATTCAGAATTAGGGGTTTGAATCACCTTGAATCAAGAGGGAAGTGGTTTTAAAATCATGATTTGAGCTAGTTTAAAACATCACATCAGATTCTGAATAATCCAAATCAAACACTGATTCTGAATCATAATTCAAAATCACTGTAAACAAACTTCTGAACCAGGATTCAAAATTATGATTCTGAATCCATCTATCAAACGCACCCTCATATTTCCCTTTATGTATTTTCACGTTCACGTTCATCGTTGCTGGTCGTTGATACTTGATTTGCATTATACCCTTTAGTAGGTGTACCGTTTGGTGTTTATTTTTACTGCTAATCTCTTTGGGTTGATTTGCTTGCGTTTCCGTGGTTGGATGTCTTTGTTATTGTTGTTTACGGATGTCTTTGTTATTATTGTTTATTTTATTACTATTACTTATTGTTTCATTTGTTGTTTATTCATTCTTTTTACGTTTGCATTAATGAAAATTGTGTCATTTGTTCATCTTTTCGAGTCGGTTCATTGTTGGAATCATATTGTTTTGCTTTTTTTTTTTTTTTCCTTTGCATCATATTTTCTTTTTCGTCTTTTCCATGATGATTTCATCTTCTAATGAAATCATTTTTCTTTTTATCTATAAATACATTCGCTTGTTTTATATGTAATGATATTAGTTATTCATTTTATAATGATCTCTGATTTTTATTGAATGGAGTTATGTAATTTAATATTCGGTATTCATATTCATTTTTATAATGATGACTGATTTTTATCATTATAATAATGTTTTCATCTTTTCTTTGTGTCCGTATACATTTTACTTATTTTATATTTAATGATATTGGTTATTCATTTTTATAATGATTTTTTATTTTTATTTCATTTTCATAATGATGAGTGATTTTCATTAAGCATTGGGGGAAGATTCCTATTGGCTTTTCTTGAGCAGGTCGTTATTTCAGAGGGGTTTTTTAGATGAAAATATAGAACCAGTTTTAAAAATATGTAGTGATTGCTTTTTCTTTCATTTTGTAAGAAGAGAAAGTTTCCTTTTCTTAATTATTTTTCAATTATAATTACTGATTTCATTCTGGATTCATTAATTGTTAACTTTTTTCTAATTATTGATTTGTTGATTTCTTACCCATTTTGTTCTAATAAATTTTTTTCCTTTTTTTTCATTATACGAGGATATAATGATTTTTATATATGATAGTTTTATAAATAAAAAACTCCGCACTTTTAAACAGAAAGTGCTCCAAATCGGTATTTTTATAGTTAAAATTAGGATTAAGATTGCAAATAAAACTTACTAAAAAAAAAAAAAGACTTGGACATGTTTCAATCCAAACACGAAAAATGAGGAGATTTTGAGACAAATAAATGTTGCAAGCGGACCATGTGGAAAAGAACCTTTTCGTAATAAATGCAACATCAGAAAACCATTATTCTAAGTTTTAATTTTAAAACCATAATCATAATTTATGATTTTAAGTCCAAATCATGGTTATAAAACCAAACTCAGAATTAAGGTTTTGAACCACCTAAAACTAAGGGGAGAGTGATTTTAGAATTATAGGTGATTCATAATTTAAAACATCACATTATAGTTCAAACTTTGAATAAGAATCATTATAA